AGTAACTATTGAAGATAACCAGAAGGCTTTATCTGTCCGGACTCATTTAACTTGAGATAATTATTATTTCGCCTCGTGGCGATCGTGGCGCAGAGACAAGTGCGCTGGTCTAGTGCAGAGCCTGAGACCCGAGTTCAAATCCGACCGAAGACCGGTCGGTTTTTATACGATCGTCACCTCTCGGCGGTAATGGCAATCCACCGAGAGTATCTTGCCACGCTCGATCACGACAAGCTCCAGAAAAAATTACCTTGTCGACTAATTTCTGGATCACCCGAATTAAGTGGTCGTGCTCTTTGCCTACTGTGGTCAGTTTAAAAATGGAATCTGACGAGATCCACACGTTTGTGAATCGCATCTGTACAATGGATGCGACTCTGGAAAGTGGAAACAAATATTTTTTTTAAAATAAATTCGACGTATATATGTACAATGGTATTATATATTGTATAAAAATGTCAAAAACGTAAAAAATAAAAGGAATTTCAGAAGAATCGCGAATTTACCTGTCCACAGCTTTAACGTATTCATCATTGTAGTTCTTTTGTGCGTTAAGTTTATAGCCCATTGCAGTATCTACAATAAAATCAGCAAAATTAAATTAATTAATTAATATATTGAAATTAAGTTTAGACAAAGAAATTTTGTAATCTATGATGCAATATTTTAATATATATCGCGATACATGTAACACGATTGATAAATTTAAATTTTGCAATTCAACTATTTAATAATTAACATGTATGGATAAATAATTATACATAAGCGTATGATAACATTTAATAATACTAAATTAAAACAATAATGTGCACTATATTGCGCTAAAAATTAACGACGGTTAACTGTGTGTCATTATGGGATAATTGTTGTTATCCACATAATGGCTGGTGTAATGTAGATAACACGTGTGTAAAACGTGCGTTTATTTCGCAATGCATTTATTTTAACAACGCTCATTTGTGACCATTGCAGTAGACTGACAATGAGTATAGACGATCGGCGAGGGATAATCGATCGTGCATCCGTTTTCCTTCAACTAATTCAAAATTCTGAGTATTAATTAAGTAGACTTTTTTATATTTTCTAAATATTTTTTTTCTCAGTGTACACAAAAGTGGAATCGAGTAAGTGTATTGTTTTATCAAAATTTAAAACGGGAAACCTAAACATTTATCACACATACATCTATGTGGGGTCGTTGGATGCACAGAGATTAGGTTTCTTCGCAGTGGAGGAAGACTCCGTGTAAAAATAAAAAAAGTTTGCTTTTTTTGCGGTGTACGTGCGTAGCTGCAGGTACGCATGGCATGGACGCAAAGTGTTACGTCCAAACCTCGGAATTTTTATGGGTTTCCCGGGATTTCTATGGGATTCCTGAAATTTTTATGGGTTGTATGGGTTGTATGGGAAACGGTGGAAAGGCAACAAGGAGTGAGGTATGGAAGGACGTTGCAGACACCTGTCTCGCAGCCACACGTGTTAGGTGTATGGTACGAGTCGAACGCACTTTTCAAAGGCTTCGATTACGAGTCAACGTCGCTATGACACTGTGACGGTGAGCGGTGCGATTGTCGGTTCTATGTTAAGTCAAAGAACTTAATTCCTATTTACAGAGGGGGAAGGGGCTAATGTAATGACAGTCCCGATAACAAGAGAATATTTGGAACTGTATAATATAATAAGCAGCTTCAAAAGAAACTGGGTAAAATTTTGTCGTGGAATGTGTCAGAGGTTCCCGATTCTAATCCAGCAAACACCAAGTAACACTTACATATATTAGTTATAATTCCCTACTCAACAATGTAAATGCAATACGTGCGTGAGTGCAGGCGTACTTGGCGTGTGCGTGGTTGCTGGCGTGATTACTGCCGTATATGTGGTTACTGCCACAGATTGCTGGCAACCTCTATAAATCTATGCGAGCTTGCGACCGAATGCTATCTGTGCTATCGAGATTATCGAAAAAGTGTGCTCACTCGTGACACGGCTGGCTAGTGTGGTGGCCGGGTTGCCATTCGGTAGGGGGTGCGCGCCCCGCGCACGGCCACAATTTATGTATATATACAATACAATACATTTTATATTATATTATATATTTATATATTATATATATTTATATATTATATGTATAAAATATAATTAATCTACATCTAGGGTTATTTGTTAATTAATAATTAAAAATTCAAGAATGCGAGAAGGCAAGAAAATAATTTCTCGTTGCTACTTACAATCCAACATGACCGCACCGAAGAAACGGAAGTTTCAAAGAAATGCGTTATAATTTCCGAATAAAAATCTTATAAATACTTTTCAAATGAAAAAAAAAACATATCGAATTGACAGTCCAGGATTTAAATACCTAGACGCGACGCGCACGCTCCGAGCGCGCCAAAAATTGACGCATGTTAACGCAGCTTGACCTTGACGCGTCAGATGGAATTTTACGACGTCCGATATATGTATGTGTGTGTGCACGTGCCCACGTGGTATATATGTGTGCGCGCGTAGTTTTAATACATAATACATCGCGTTATTGCATCGCTGATAACTCGCGCGGAACACGGCCGCCGGGCGCCGGGCAGTCCGGGCAGTGCGCCGATGGATCGCGTGACGCGCGTTGGAGAATCGACACGCAAGGGTTTGTAGGTTAGACCGCGAGGCTCCGAGATTGATCGACGCGGGAGGAAGAAAGAGGAGAAGGATTTAAAGCACGATGCGGGCGGCTATCGCGGTGTGCTGCGTCTTCCTCGGCTGCTGCACCAACGTCGTGTTTCTGGAACTGCTGGTCAAGTGGGTATCGATGACTGGGCCAACCTGCTGCGTTACATAACAACGCGCGCTGCACGCTGTCCATTAAGAATTTTTAAGACACGTTTTATCGCTTTATTCGTACCTTAACGTCCGTACTTTCGTGCGGCTTACTTAAAGATGAAGCATTTGTCCGCCGCTCGTGATACTTTATTCAAAAAAAAAAAAAAAAAACGTCACTGCTGACTGCTGCAATGAGCGTCGTTATGATAAGATAATTGTTGCGAAATGAAAATAAGAAATGAATAAGATTTTTGTTCTCCATCGCTCCCGGTTTTTCAGGGATGATCCTGGCAGTGGAAATCTCATCACGTTCTCGCAGTTTCTCTTCATAGCAGTCGAGGGATTTCTGTTTACGTCCAAATGCGGCACCGTCAAACCAAACGTAGGCATAAAGGATTACTTTATTTTAGTCACAATGTTTTTTATTGCCAACGTATGCAATAATTATGCGTTTGACTTTAATATTCCTATGCCACTGCACATGATATTTAGAGCTGTGAGTAGCCCATAGATTCATTTCTGATAGAAGATAAATCGCAGGCTTTGCTGCAGATATACTGTACGTTGTATCGTTTCAGGGTTCTCTAATAGCCAACATGATTATGGGTATTATTATTTTAAACAAGAAGTATACGTTTAGCAAATATTTATCAGTATTTATGATCACCGTGGGAATAGCGCTCTGCACAATCGTTAGCGGCAAGGAGATCAAGTCCTTGCAGCAGAAAAATGTGGAGCAAGTAGCTACGACGCCGTGGGACGACTTCTTCTGGTGGATCTTGGGCATATCTCTGCTCACGATCGCCCTATTCGTTTCCGCTAGAATGGGTATTTATCAGGAAGTACTGCACAGCCGGTACGGTAAAAACGCGCGAGAAGCTTTGTATTATACAGTAAGTCTTTCCTCATTTCTTCTCGTTAAATGCCAGTGTCATAATTCAACGATATAATTGAGGAATTCTTTACAGCATCTGTTACCGTTGCCATTCTTCCTAATGCTAGCGCCTAATATTTATGATCACTGGAACTTTGCGCTCGCATCTGAGCCACTGAGGTTGCCTGTGATCGGTGTACATATCCCATCGTTAATCGCATATTTAATTGGAAACATTCTGACGCAGTATCCTTTTCTAAATATAGCTATGTCATAATACTTTCGTACAAACACGCGCGCGCGCACACATAATGTCAGGACATCTGTACGTATGTACTATCGCACCTCCAAAGTATTCTCCTTAACTGTACTTTCAGATATATGTGCATCAGCTCTGTATTCGTATTAACTACGGAGTGCAACTCCCTTACGGTTACTCTGGTAATAACATTGCGAAAGTTCCTGTCGTTGTTATTCTCTATAATCTATTTCAAAAACCCGTTTACTATATATCATTGGACTGGTACGTTACTAGTCTTCATAGGTACAGTTATTTTTACGGAAGTGATACCAAAGATTACGCAAAGCTTACAACAGACGAAACCTAAGACGAAAAAAACGGAATAGGTGCATTAACTTTAAAAATAAGACAGGCAAATAATTATCTTTTATTTCTATCGATTATGTAACTATGAATTGTTTAAGGCATTTTATAGTGATTGTGTCATTTCGATACGTACGGAAGCATAAAAGAGATTCTCGGATAGATATGATGTGGAAAATGATGCCCGTCCATTGTTTTGTATAATATATGCTTTTGTAAAATAATAGCGAATGCGTTTTCGAAATCTTTCTACCTCAATTATATTTTCATAGTTCAATTAATAAAAAGGATTGTATTCTCTCTTTCGATCACTAAGTACCTGATGGATCAGATTTGTTAAACGCAAATAAATTAGGCTATTGGTTAGTTCAATCAATGACTTCGCAAGTTCGATTTTAACGATGCAAGTATATTTCCGTTGTATAGTATATATTTTTTTTACAATAAATATATATCTTTCTATCTAGCAACAATTCAATTTAAATTCGATATCAGGGCACAGTGTTCGAGTGTTATAGATGATCATATATCGCTTAATTTAAATCCCTTAGGCTCGTTGTTCGGAAAGTTCTCTCGGAAAATGGTAGACGCAAAAAACGGTAAAGAGTCACGACGTTAAAATAATGAGAAACGAACGTTTATATCGCCGCGTTATACCTTGGCACGCATGTACAGCTCGTAAAAGATCTTAATTACATCTAATTAAACTAATTTCCTATTTACATTATCTATTTGTGGAAAGAAGGATGTACAATGGCACGAGTTAACTATCCGCATACGAGCCAGCTATTTGAATGCTCGTCGAAACAAACATCATACTCGATTATGATATAAATGTACAAAAATGTAAGAAAATAAAGCTAAAATCCAAGAAAGGAGTACGCCGCTGTCGCCGTGCACAGCCGAGATATGAAAAACGGATTTATTTTACCACGAGTTTAACGTTAAGGTAAATGAATATAATATTCGGCTCTAATCTAGTTTCATATTACAATACGTATACTAATGTGTATTATAAACGTTGCAACGATAGAAGAAATATCTTCTTACAACTACTATTAAATTGGTCAACGTATATGTATAATTTCTGATTTATTCTTGCGATTAAAGTCTTAAAAAAAAGATGCAAGACAATGAACGTACATAAAATATACATACATAAAATTCACACACACTTTGTCTCACTAACAAATAGATTTTTATACTATATTATGAAATCTCAATTTAGAAACTGATTCCATAATTTAGTACAAAATTAATTAATTAATTAATGACCTAACGAAATCGCACCTGGCCCTTTATTTATCTATAATCACTCCTTCATGTCATGCGATACAGATCTCAAGCACATGTGGAAAGTCTGATATAAAATACATATTTAATATCATTTTTGATATTGTATGTACTTCATCTAAAACATTTGATCAATGTTGTTCAAGTTTTATCGTCGAATTATATTCTTGATGTGTCAAGGGGAAAAGATTGATAATTATGTAAAAAAGAAAAAAATAATTTGCTTGTGAATTCGTAATGTTAAAAAAAACATTATGTAAAGTTCTAAAAGATCAGGAATCACAAGAATAAATCGAATATGTATAATCATAATTTGTCGATCTTTGAGTTGAACATCATTTCACGTTAATCAACCCATCGATTTTGAGAATCAAATAATTGGTTATTAACAAAATGTTGTGTTAAAAAGAAGTGACTCGGGTTTCTCCACGACCTTGAAGATATTGGACAGTTCGTCAACCAAGGTTTCATATCGGTAGGCCACTCGTATGTCTGGTACGTTGGTTCGAGTGATATCGTTACCAGCGACTCCTTCCTTCGTATAGTTAGGTCCTAACCAGTACTGCTTACTCTGCAAAATGAAAAACAATTAAATCACATGACATTCCGTCACGTCCATGCATCAAGCAAGTGTACGGAATCGAGAGATGCGTTATCACTATAAGAAGACAAACTCGTAGAACGCTCGAAGAAGTGTTAATCCGATCTCTTGGTTGCTCTTTATGTACACGGAAGACTGATATAATTACTCACCTTATGAGGAAAGCCACTCATAATAACGGAATTGCGTGCTAGCTCACACATGTCACACGAACTGAGTTTCCACACTTGCGCAGCAATACTATATTCTTCCATCAGGGGTTCCTATAATTAATACATTATATCATATCAATATATGAACCATGAAATAATATATAGCAATAATAATTTTTATATATTAGCGAGTTTTTTCAAATTACAAAAAAGATTATTGTATTGTCTACAGTATATAGTATTTCTTATTTACCTTGGTAAAATGAAACTGAAGAGGATCGTCCGTGGACAAGCTTACACATAGCCCTCTAGCAAGGTATTCTGGAAGTGGATTACGGTGATAGTTCAGGAAAAGCGAGTTGTTACTGAGCGGCGACATCGCGATGCCGATTTGCGTAAGGTAATACAAATATTGGAGCACGGGAACTTTTCTGAGCAGTAGGCCATGTGAAATATTCTCCGCCATCATGTAGCCACACACAAGATGTTGAATGGGTCCTGCCTCGCCGCAGTGAGGTCTCAGGACAAATGTATTGAAGCCTTGTTCTCTATAAAAATAAAAGATTTCACGTCTCAGATGTAATGAGATAATTACTCAAAATAGAATTTTGAAAACTTGATAATCAACGTACGCTCTAAATTGATTGAGGACCGTCATATTTGCATAAGTGTAGTATTGGTAATATCCGTATGGCGGATTCTCTATGTCGTCCCATTCAGCGGGTGGACAAACGTCTTTATCGAAGAGAGGATTTTCAGGCTTACTTTCATCGTCCACGGAATCGAAACCTATTACCTGTGACAATAATATAGCGAATGCATTTAGAAAAGTACAATAACAGTAACAGAAATGAATTAGAAAAATAATATAAAATAGAAAAACATACGTATTGGAGAAATTTATGCAGCTCCGGATGAGAATTGGGATCGTTGGTTACTTCGAAGAGCGGCAGGAAGATGTTGTTAATAATCTCTTGGAAGTTCGTCATGAGTTTGTTCAGCTTAAAGATATCGCTATATACAAAATGCGAGCAATGAGAAATCCGTCAAACTTAAGTGCCGCGCGTATACCATATAACAGACTTACTATAATCTAGGAATCTGTATGAGCCAGCGTACGTTGTCCGAATACACGTCACCCTGAATCGCCCACTTAGCTAGTTTATCCCATTCTTCTGGATTCTTGCCATAAATCGAAAGACGCAGCTCCGCGTTCTGATATTTGGACTCCTCGAGGTCGCTTGCGACCTCCTTGATTATACGCGCAAAATATGAACCGTTCAGATAGTTATCGGTCTTGAGAAAAACTTCGCGCAAGCGGCTTTCACCGATAGGATTGTACTTCGCGTTGAACTTGTCGAATCTGTGAAACGTGTTTCTGTCCTGCGAAAAAAAGGGAAAATAACGTGTAAATATTTTTTGGAGGACTTCCTCGATATCTTAATGTAAACGTCATTCGGAAGAATACTTACTGCATGCACGTCCAACATGTCGACGCTCAGATCGTAAGTCGTCAGATTCATGGATTGAAAAACTTCGCGGAGTGTCATGGTCTCACCGGTTTTGGAACAAGTGACCACTTCATCGGCGTGATTCTTCAACGTTTTCTTGATGAATCTAAGCAGGTGCTTTTGATTCATGCATGAAGCCGCATGTATGTGAGTATCGACCTGTGATGAATTCAATCATACAATAGCGCAATCACACGCGTCGTTGATGTATAAGCAGAAAGAAAATTTGAAATAATACTATACATCATCAATTATATCATCAACACTATACATTCTTAATTTGAAATAACACTACAAAAGAAATCTAAAACCTTCTTTAATTTTCTGCTTTGAAATTGCATTATCCTGTTTCTAACTTTACAATAAATATTGATCTTACAAATTACGGTCCCAATACACTTGCAAACTTGAATTGTTTGCGTACAGACCTTCCTGATGTTATAGAAGTCCCGGTGCGGCACGGCCTTCTGACTCGCTAGCTCTCTGAGCTCGTTCAGCAGCACATGTAACTGATACTTGGAGGAAAGATAACTCAATCTTCGGTAACAGAAGGATTTCAAGGGCCCGTCGGCGATCATGGCGCACAGAAGGTTCATGTCCTGGACGAAGGCTGCCAGGTCCGGATACGAATACGGGACCGGCTTGCCGTTAGCCAGGTCCTCCTCATTGGCGAACAGGTTGAACACGCCGTTGACCGGTACGATCTTGTAATTCTTTGTCGGTGGAAATTCGCATTCCCACGGATCGCCCCGGGAAGCAGGTGCATGTACCGGGTGATCTGTTGATAATTGATTAAGGCGCGCGATTAGCGAGGCATCATTTAGCGCGCCAACTGTCTGTTGCCGCAGCGCTGTTTAATTTATTAATTCAGAAATAATAACTATATCGCATATGGTAAAAAGACTCTATGATGGTTAAGCAGCAGCTAGTGACTCAAAACAGCGTGCAACAGGAAATTCGAGGTAAGGATATTTAATAGGTATTAGGAAGACCTGTCCGAGAGACGTCTTTGATCAGCGCGTCGATGTCCGCGTCGGATTGAGTGCCCCCGATTTCTTTCACAATATCCAGCAGCTCTTTTCCTTAGAAAATATGTAATAAAACTGGCATCGTATACTCTTCATTAACTCATACGCTAAGAATGTATAGTGCTTGGCACACTAAACTAAAGCTGTGCTTTGTATGAAGCTCCGCACGAGGAGTCGCGTGATTATATACGCATCGCTGCGCCCGACGAAAAAGAAATTAAAAAAAAATTACACAACACACGAACGGTAGTTTGACGTCGTTATTGCCATCGGCGCTTGAAGCGTTAAAACGTTAATGTTAATTGCACTGGAATTTTTATAAAGATTACAATCACATGTTTTCTTGGTAGACAACGGCACGAGGAAGGGACGTCGGGAGATACGTGTGGTAAAGGTATGGAACATCGGATTGGATTTTCAACATACAACTTTGAGACACGAGTTGTTTCTCAATCAACGATAGCTACCTTCGATGGCCTTGCGATCATCGTGGTGAACTTCGTCGTCTGTGGTGAGTGGTCTTTTATCGATACTGCGCAAGAACCTAGAAGGAATAGTGGGGAAGCTCTGTTTGGAGTTGTTCATGTATTTCTCGCGCATCGCCAACGCTTGCACCAGCATCTTGGAGGCCCTTTGAAGATCTTCCAGAGGTACCTATGTATAATTTTTATAGATAAAGCACGGTAATATAAAATTAATCGGAGCAACGAAGTAATTTTTCAAATTACTTCGTTCAAATTAGTCGTTTGCGCCGCTCACTTTTCATATCGAAAAGTGCCGTCGCAACAAACTTAATAATGCACTCCTGCAGCTTCTACTGCCATTTTCAAAACTTGATTAGACTTCCTTAATTAGACTTTATAATCAAAATGTTTTCATTAAACTTATTAAAAATAAATAAAAAAGTGCATGCATATAAAATAAATTTTATTTTTATACACTTATATCATGACACCTTCCGACATGGAACAGAACAAGTATGAATATGCTGCTTGACATTTTTCGCACAGATTTTATTTTTTATTTTATTTTAAATATTTAATAATATTTTAATAATTTTCCTGTTGATTATAAAACATTCATTATCTATTATGACATAAAAATCTTTATAATAAGGTAACATCAAATATGTACATATAATTTAATTTAAACTTTAATAAAATATTTCTGCTTAAACTGATTTTGATATATTTCATATTAAAATTATTATAGCGATAATAAAACTAGATTAAAGGCATCGCTTATAGTTTAATGTGGATGTAACATAAAGGGAGAAGGGGCAAAGCCAAGCGCGACCAAGGTTTCTCGCGTAAATCCGCAGTCTCAAGGTTTCCATTTCACACAAAATCTCCAGAGACATATCCGTGCATAATAGCATCCGCGAAACCATAAAGCTGAAGTTACATCTCGACTAGATCGATCTTGTGTCGATTATTTGATATCTTACTAATTATTATTTCTCGAGACATATCTTATAGATAATCCATTTTTTCGTATCTTTATCATTTCTAAATTTAATCACTTAATTTTTATTTAATCATGGCACATTCGGCAAATTGTAGCCATAAAGATACCCGTTAAATGATGCAATAATTTCCAAAGTATCGCGTCATTCAGTAAATTATAACAAATACAGTTATGGTTCGAAAAAAATAGTCATGAGAAGCGTTAAAAATCAAATATAAATTAGCTAAAACAGTTTGAGACTCACTCCGGAAGTGTCCTCGCCGGATATGGAGACCCGTTGAAAATGAGGTACGAAATCATTTTCTTCGATCTTGAAACTATGATCGATGTCATCAGGAACTCCTGGATGGAGCGACGGCTCGTAATGACTGCGACGTTCCTCAAGATCTTTTGCAGCTCTATTAAATACAAAAAGAAACCGTTGACTCTACAAAGAGTTTATTTTTTCTAACATAAAATAAAATTTTGTAGTGAAATATACCTTTATATGACTCGCAATTATTCTGCGAAATATTAAAAGGAAATTTTTTTCATTTAAAAATCCGTGACAAAGATTTTTTATTAAAATAATTTAATTGTAACTTTTTAATTCTCAATATCAAGCATCTTAGTAATTACAACTGATATTTTTTTAATTTTAATAATATTATTATATTTATTAATTAACTATATGACAAAGATTTTTATTAAAATAATTTACAATTTTTTAATTCTCAATATCAAATATCTTACTAATTAAAACTGATATTTTTTTTTATATTTTATTAATATCATTATATTTATTAATTAAATATGCGACAAAAATTTTTATTAAAATATAATTTATTGTAACTTTTTAATTCTCAATATCAAAAAACTTAGTAATTAAAACTGATATTTTCTAAATTATATTAATATAAAATCCATTCAAAAATTATAAACAAATAAAATGCAATATCTATTAACAACTCTTGAAACTTCAACATTCTACCTCATTTTCGTTTCACTTCAGATTGGAGCAAGGAATTTTCTTTCTTATCGTTATACATATCAACTGTTGCCCTGTGCAGAACAAGTATCTAAAATTATCTTATACAAACGTCGATAGGAGAGAATTTATAGCGCGGAGTTAATTCACGGGTCGCAACAGAGGCAAATAAAATACACTTTCGTGATCGAGAGTCTTCAATCACGAGAGAGTAGGGTTAAATTCGACGAAGTCGTGATAGATACTTCATGGACTTTTGACCCGAGGGTTATCAATGAATATCGAGGCGATATTCTTTTTTTTATATATATATACATGGGAGCAAATTAAAAGCTCCGTAAGATAATCACTCTTTAATTAATGCACCACGCATGAGATGTTCCATTAATGCCTGTCCGTATATATCCCGGTTTATTTCCTCGTGTCCATAATTTCATAATATTATCAAGACGAGACTTGTATATTGAAAATAATATCTCTGACGAGAAATATTAAAATGACTCGCAAAACAGCATAAAATAATTGTTTTCAGGATAATTTTAAATATCCTGTCGAATACAAAAATGTCAAATTAAAAAATTAATATAATAATTTTATAATATATTAGCTAAATGTTACTAATATTGTATTACTAGATATATTAGTAATGAAAAATAATATATATATTTTATCATAGTTAATTATATCTTTAAATAATAATATCATCAAATTGAATAATCTCATGATTTATACTTCTAATTACGGTATTTAGATTCATCAGTACTAAATTGAATAACACATTTGCCCCAGATATGATTATATATGCACTTAAGCACTTAATAATAATTTATGACGCATGGATTGGAGGAATAAGAGCGATAGATCAAATCGATAATCAGCAGAGTTAGCAAACAAAATTGTAAAATATATCGGTCTTCATACACGAGAATTTAAGAAACTTAAAGCGTGGCTCGCCATCCGCTCTCGTAATATAAAAGCACGAATTACCTCAGGAGACTCCTATTATCCCTCGTCCATCGTTTTGACTCGTTTGCGCAGGCGAACATGTTACGCGATCGATACCACGTGTTGGAGATCGATCGCTCTTACGCGCGCGGAATAGATCGCGGTGCGGAAGCGCGAGTCGAGTAATGCGACGCGCAAATTCGTGCTGCGCTATTCTCCACGCTCATTTGCCACAACACCTCCCTCCTTTTCACAGACGCGATACATGGGATTCCATCGCTGAGGATGGGTTTCCACTTGCAGCGATCGACGAATCGTGTTCGTTTCGACCTATAAACGGCGTCTCTCGATCACAATCGTCGGTCGACCGTATCACCCGATCTTCGGTAACCCGGTCGAAAGTCTCCGTGATCTTTCATGATTAGTCGGCCGGAACAGCCGATAAGTTCTCTTTATGGAAGCTGACGGGGCGCAGTGGGAGCCGCGTGGTCCTTTCCCGGTTTCTTCCACGATCTCATGCATATATTCCGCCACCCTGCTGTGTTCTGTCAAATGAACGTAATCGTTCCGACTTCATTGCTGAGCGCATTCGATAATTTTAAAAATCTCCATTTCGCGCACAGGAAATTACATGCGACTCGCAAACAAATATTCCGCGTTGAATCGGAATACGCGGAGACTGCGGAGAGTCACAGAAGCGGAAAATATCGAGTTGAAATGAATTGTATAGGGGAAAAACGAAAAATAACATGGAATTTATTCGATGCGCAGATAAAATTAATTCATGCGTGATGCAGGAGAAACAAATAGGAGGATGAATATTATTTCTATTGTATAAATATATAATCTCTCAATCGTTACTGCTATTTTGTTCATGACTCCGTCAGTGTTTTTATACTTTATATCCTCTCTCATTTAGTTGACAAATAGTTGCGGGATGTGGCAAAAGAGTAACAAAACTCCTCGGTGTAATAGCAGAGTGCGCTATATGTTGCTGCGGTAAACGCGTTCATCACACCTTTGTATGTACTTGCCTCCCCACGCGATAAATCTCGCTAAACGCCGCAACTACAAAAAGTTTATAGAAAGAAAATGCCAAAATAGCAAACGCTATTTCAATTCATGTACGAGACACAACAGGGCCGATATCACAGTCTCCGATTAACGTGATCCTCCGATTAAACTCACTCTTCGTCTCTTTCTAGGGGGACAGTTAGAAAGAGATGCAGAGTGAATTTAATCGGAGGATCACGTTAATCGGAGACTGTGATATCGGCCCACATTCGAATAAATATCTTCAAAGTTTCGAGGTATAATATCTATTCATGGAAAGAATTCATGAAAATAATTATGTAGAACACTCAAACTGATTGCTAAAATGTCGAAATTTTTTACAGCATTATCATCATACTTCAGCGACCTATTATAATTATTTTGATGGCGCAACAAAATTATTTTCAAAGATCTGTATCTAGCTAAAATTTTTAGATACTTGAGCAAAATCGTTCTTTCCGTGCTCATGTCGAAGATTCTTTAAATTTCATTTCTGAATCCTCTCTTACTCCTTGTTAATCTTTGATCACCCAACGTCAGGGAGATTTAAATTCGTATCGCGGAAATTACAAGGGCAACATGCAAGCGCAAGCGAGACTCGATGGGGACCGCAGGATTAATAAATCTCACTGATTAGAGAGAGAGTCGCGAATTTGAATCGAATTCTCGGAGGATCCTCGAACCGCGCATCGCACATTTCTACGTCAGCGATACTGTTGACGCGGTGTTTAATCGCAAACACGAGAAGCGTCCTACTCTTCAATTGACTCACTCGCCAACATCGGACGATCTCGAACGCGTCCACAAAGGATTAGCGTTGCTGCAGTCCGATTAGGATATCGCGAGACTCTTAGAAAGCTCGCTCACATCTCAGCTTTCACACGCTATACCAATTACGTCATTACGTGGATCGAACGTGTGTTGGTGCCGTGTTGCAACGTATAACAGACGTTTTCGAGCTCCGGTAATGTAATTGCATCGCTCGGCGAAGGGGATCGATAAATCAAAATATCCGACTGCCACAAATCGAGGTAGAGACCGATTTAACACGTAATCCAAATAGAGTTCATTATACGTACACCGGGGGAGGATCAGATATTTTCTTTTTAATAAATCAACGATCGTTCAATGCAGTTAAGCATATAATATGCAGAAACATATTATCGAATTCGTTATAAAGGATATTTTCTACATTCGAAAAATAATAGTTAAATTTATTTCTGCATATGCCACATGACGCTAATTCTTCACGGGGGGGACTACCGCAGCTACGAATATTATTAGAGCCACTACACGCCGCGATCGCGAATCCGATCGTATAATTTCGTCAGTAGATCCCGGTGATTTGCGATAATCTCTACAATCATATCGGCGGTTTAGCGTGAGGTCCATTTTCCCCGGATCGCCGGCTATTATACCGGTTTCGACGCGGAGCACGGCGCGCGGCACGCACGCAGCCCTCGTGTGCGAACGATACCTTAAACGATACCTCCTCCGCGCGCATGCAACTCTTTCGACCGTGCCGGAAGTCGCGTACGCCGCCGAGCGTACGTCCGGTATCAACGACGGTCGCACGAGAACTGAGCGGGTGGACCGAGGAGGACGGCCACGGGCCACGGCTGATCGCGCGGGCAACCCTTTCGACCCACCCCCGCGCCCGCGGCCAGAGCGTGGTTCCTCCCGTGTTTTACCGCGCTCTCCGATGGCATATTAAAAAAAAAAACGGCCGACGCATGGTTTCCGCTTACCATGTGTAAATATAGGGAAGTAACGCGACGTGGTTTACACATGGTGTCCCTTGTGCATGCTAAATGCGTCATTGAAATTATTAGCGCGACACGCGCGGCGTATTTATCGCTCGCTTAATTGAACGCTTAGGCCTCCCCCAATAGTTTATCCGTTGCGTCGTTATTTTTCCCTGAGTATCGCCAATGATAACGCAGTCGCAAGTTATATCAAAATGCTTTTATAGGTAATTTTATCGGTACTCAAGATACGCTTCAATATCGTTCAAGTACCTTGAGTACTTCTAATTAGGGGCAACAAACAGAAATATGGACGGGGAGGAAACTACCTTGAATAAACTTGTTGGCTTTTGTTTTACGACGACGAGACCAGCTGCGCGATCGATTTTTGAGACGGAGGTCGTTATACGGGGTGTTTCGTAACAAGGTTCGCGTTCGACGATTCTGTAAAAGCGCGTCTCTCCCGGTGAGCTTTTCGCGACTTTCCGCCTTTTATCAGTTCTTCTCGCAGCTCGCGAATCGACCCTTCTTATGCCAAACCCTTCGCTCGCCTGGGGACAGTTCTATTTTTAAATAAGTATTAACGATTATGACACACATTTCGAATTGAATTATCGCGTTACATTAAGCGTCTCGAGGCCAAACAGGCACATGTCCCGCGTTGAATTATTGATCGCGGCTTTATTGGCTGCAGAAACAAGAATTCCGTTCACGACGACGACGACGACGATTTTATCGGTGATCAACGGCTGTCCCAAGGTAATCCGCGTTTTTCGTGCAATCGGTAAACAAAGATTGCGTAGTCGATCTAAATAACGCAAGAATGTGCCTCCTCTTGTCCCGATATATACTTACGCAAATATAAATACATTTGAGTTATATCCGCGACATGTTTACGGATAATTCGTGTGCGCTCGCCAAATGCTACCCATCCTTTATATTTTTGCTACGATTTTATTAATCGTAGTAAAAATTGATAATTCAACGAGTCGAGAGAGAAAACACGTAATAACATTGATTAAAAATAAGATAAATAATGAACTGCATAGTTATCCTTATTTATAAATTGATAACTAAATCTCTGGTCCATAATTAAATCTCGCCAATAATGCCATTTAATTAATTGAACTAAATTAAATTCTGAAATTACCATTAAATATTTCAAACTAAATTATACACTACAATCAAATCATACATACATATAAATATGCGTGTGAATTTAAAATTCTCTACATACAATTCAAATCCTGTTTATATAATATAAACTGGCCGGGCGTTATTATTGGAAACGTAAACTTTTTTCGAAAATGTAGAAAAAGAGACGCAGTAATTCTGGAAAGGGCGTTTTGAGCTCAATTAAATTATTCAAATATACCGTTAATGTATTTTAAACTTAATTATACATCTCAATCAAATCATACACATAAATATGCGTGATGTGAGTTTAAAATTCTCCATATACAGTCGACTCCTGTTTATAATATAAACTGGCCGGGCGTTATTATTGGAAACGTAACTTTTCTCGAAAACGTAGGAAAAGAGACGCAGAGTAATTCTAAAAGAGCGCAGAGCGCTGTCCCATCGAGTAGCAATGCGACATTTCTCGCGCAAAATTCCTCCTCGGCCTTTCCAGTCGAGACGTGGGCGGCGTGACCTACCAGTCTCTCTATTCGTTTATATCCTTCGCTCGGATCTACATAATACATCACAGTGAAATATCTAACGACGATATAATTCCGAACTGGTTCGCCCAGCGCAAACCCGACGAACATTGCCGAGTCGGTGTTCCACCGGTTTACATAAACCATCGCGCGTAAAACGTTTTCTCATTGTTACGCCATGGCCGCAGGAAGTGGAACAGCTATTCCCTAAGCATCGCGTTCGATTGTCAATATTGTGAATACAACACAGACACAGAGTCTCTGATATAATCGTATTAAGTGCCTTTAATTATATAACACATTTCTGAATAAAGTAGATGTAATCGAGATATTCCTCGAGTATCTCTATCTCAGATTTTCTGACCGACAAATTCCTTTCTTCTCCCTTACCTTCACTGGATGTAAATTTAAGTTATAGCTTGGGTAAGAATTAGTGAAGCAAATTCAATATTCCTTCAACAGAGAAGCAAGCTAATTCGGGATATTCTCGTCAGGCGAGTTTAAAAACCGCGTTTCGCAATTAATACGATGGTCCCGTGATAATACCGTGCAAAGAATAAGCGCTCTTCTATTTGTTCCTTAATTTTCGTAAAAGCCTTCGAACGGTTTATGATACCCATTACCCGAGATACCCTGATACGCGATTGCAACATTACAAGGGAACGGTCGGAAGTGTCCCTCACTGATTTTGATGAGTTTTTGATGTTGTAGAGTATAAAAAAATATTAAACTCATATTTCTTTAGCTGTTTATCTCAAGGGGGTAAAACACCCCTTTGAAAAAACAAAAGATAAATGATTTGAAAAGTACTATTCAACTTTTGTTAAATAAAACCATTTTTTTTCTATCTTTTATTTAAAAACCGATTTTTTTCAAAGGGATTATTTACCCTCTAAATGTTAAGATTAGCAGCTAAAAAAATATGGGTCTAATATTTCTTGATGCTCTACAACATATATCCAAAGTCTATCAAAATCGGTGAGGGACACTTCCGGCCGTTCCCTTGATAGATATGCTACAGCGTTTTAAAAACGTCAGAATGTTTAGATCGTTTAAATGTTTAAAAGATATAAGAAAGACGATATTTTTTCACCGTGCCTTATCTTTTGGGGAAAATAATTTTTCAAAATATTATTACTTAAAATTCTAAACATACTTTTAATTTATATGCTCAGCGATTTTCACAGAATTTTATAGTTTGTCTGGTTCGCTTAAATGTCCACGTTGCAGACACTCTGTATAACGATCTATAGCATTTGATTTTATTAGATTTTATTCGATCGTGCGTGTATTAGGTACCTCATATAACCGAGTTTATACTTTTATATCCCTTGGCGATACTTTAGTACCTTTCGCAATTGTAAATATATAATGATCGGTATTTTGCCTCGAGTGTTGCCTACTTACCGTTTTAACCCTCAAGATTAACTTCTTCCGGTGCAAAATAATTATCTAAGCTTAACTAACTAAAATTAATCTATATATTCGATGCAATATTAATATATGAACTCCATATAAGTATATATTAGGAGTTGTATATGTTCTAATATAACAGATATATATTAGATTGATGTGTAAAAAGCCCGTCGTTTTTCCAAGAATCTTTATATTAAATAAAGTTGAAGATTCTCTTTGAAAAGGGAAGTTGGAAGCTGAAAGTTTTCTTTGAAAAGGGAATTGAAAAATTTTTCTTTAGACGATAAGAGAAGTGTATTAAAGACCGCGATAGCTTTTTGCTGCAATATGGCTAAAATTTCAACTTTATTCCATGAATTTCGCAAACCTTTCGCAGCAATTTAATATTTTTTTTTTGTATTCATATTATTTGGTCCGGATACAGTTAATTTTCCCGAGGTCATACTTTATTAAAACATATATTTAAATCCGAATTACATCCCAAATTAAAATATAAAATTCAAGAAACTAAAATATCTTACATATGGAGGGGTAAAAGCCATAGTGTAAGTCAAATTTTTTAATGTTGACTCGTGTGCATAGATGCAATTTATATATGTATTGTATAGATTGCATGTATGCACACGAGTCAATATTTTAAAAAATTTGACTTACACCGCTACATGGCTTTTACCCCTCCATATATATATGAACATACAATTATAGGTATGTTGGTAAAAATGAGTTTTTACTTGAATCGATCTAAATTGTGTAAATCAAAAACGCTATAAAAGTGCATGCTCACTTGACAGTCAGTTGTCGTTGAATCAGGAGCTTCTTCTCGATCTGCTCGATCGGGAATTGAGGTACTTCGTAGGGTGCTGAAATCTCATTCGGCAGCTCGTGAGATGCAAGTCTCAAGCCACTGCTACCGCCTGCACCGTTGCCACCGCCCTCGATACCGAAGACTGGGCTCTCGCTACCTGCGAGAAACAAAATTTTGCTAATAAATCGGCTAATAAAGAATGGTCTGTTTGCAATATTGAAGACTTTTCTTACTGCAATACCAAACAAGATTCTGAACTAAATCAATAACGAATATTTATTTCTAGTCCGATATGACATGTAAAATGTTGAATTATTTTATTTCGATGTTAATATTATTGTCTCAATACGATTTATTGCTTTTTTGTCACTCACTTTTCTTTGTGCACCTTATCATGCATACAAATATATAAATGTGCCGCGTGATATTAGTGAGAAAACTGCATATGCGGAAAGCATATGTGTGTTAAGTTAGAGAATTTAGAGAAAGCACATATTGTTATAGGTGATATCAAAATATGAATTTGATAATTTCTTAGATGTCTTAAAATAATTTATAAACACAAAAGACTCGTGATACATAAAAATTACGAAGTTTCCGGTTCGTTTAAAGATAAAGAATATATAGAGTAGGCCTAGGCCGCGATGAAAAAATTGAAGGAAGATTGAAATCTTTTCATAATGGTCGATTTATTACCGTTATTTACATACTCCGTGGCTTGTCCAGTTTTCTGCAACCATTCGGTAACGGAATTGCGCTTGTACACGGCAAGAATTTCATTCTCATTTCCCATTTCGAGAATATCAACTGTTTTCATCAACACGAATCGCTATACGTTCCTGCAAACACTTCCCGGCTTTATGCTACACTTATGTTTACACGATCCCGTCATTCGAAAGGCTCAAAAAATGATCGATCGTTCCTGACTCGCCCAAAGATACGTATATGTACAAGAAACTTAAGATAATGAGTTTAATAAGCGGGTCATTATAGTTGGCCGAAAATACACGTCTCCATATTACATTGTATCCAATTAAAAAGAAAGATTAGCAATTCATTATCAAGCATCAAGCAGTTGACCGAGCGTCAACTAGTTATAAATACAATTGGTAAATAAGTTACCGGTCGTAATTAGTAACTACCGATTCGCTGAATTCAAGTTAAACATTCAACCAGCGATCGATCGTGATTTCAAAATACCAATAATTATAACAGTTGTGGGTATAGGAACGAATTGTAAGCTGCTACAAATTATTCTTTTATCATTCGCGTGATTAACGTCGATCATTCCTAATTGGACGTTATTTTGTCACTCTTATTCTAGGGAGGGTCACTAGTCTAACGATCGCACTTCCGCGAGAGACGCGTCGTTCTCCCACGATATGATCAATGGAACCAATGAGCTCGCCGCGACCCTCGACAAATCTACAAAGAGCCGCACTGCCGAGTTATTAATAGAACGCGGCGCGGTGCGCGATGACAAGGACTGTTGTTTTCGATCGTCCAAACCAACGACGTGCTCTTCTCGTCCACGTCGCGCGGCGCCGCGCCGTCGTGTTCGCATTCGCATCGCGAGGGCAACGAGGTTCGCGCATTGCATTGTCGCGACTGAGGCCAAGTTCTACAACGACGGACAAAAAGCTGTTGTGACGAAGTCACTATATACGAATGTCGCGGATTTTACGATCCACGCGTAGTAAACCGTACTACGTCTATACGTCAGAGGAACGGGTGAATCAGGGTTGCGTCAGGGATGATTAGATTACGCCTGTACACGATTACTTCGCATCTAAATTTGCATGAAATTGACACGGATGTGTTCTCGTAAACTATGTAGGCGGATCATGTAGAGTACAAATTAAGTATCTCTTTTTGTACTCCGTAGCGTGCTGTTACTCCGTTTTTTATCTTTCCTAGCAATTTTCAGATTTCTCCTTTCAAAAATCGCTCTAATTTTAAGACACATTACATATATGATTTTTAATAATAATAACAGTATTTACACGCCTTATACAGGCAAAAACTATGGTTATTTATTACTATTTATAGTAATAAATAACCATAGTCAGCAATACTCAACAATCGTAATTCACGCAAAAACTTATTCTAAAAAAGATTTATAGCTTTTGAAACGATTAAACCTGTCATTTCATTTTAAGAAAAAGGTTTATAAGACAAAATGACAGGTTCAACCGTTCCAACGTGAATCAATAGCGAACTGTCAGCGGCAGAAATTCGCGGCGCCCGACGATGTCAACAGGCGAAACTCGCCTTTCATTCGACCATCGACGGCGGCGCAGCGGAGCCCGCGGATGAAGACATCGGCTCGCACTATAAATAGTTGACCCGAAGAAATATTTCCCAGATCGCTTTCCCGCATGCTCGCTACTCGGAAATCATGCTGTTTTTCCGCCTGTTTTCAATGCTGGCGAGATGATTCACGCGCTCAACAAGCTCAATCACTTGCCCGACTATACGAGTTCTACAATTCCACGAAGAACGGAAATTACACGCGACGCAGAATCCCTTTGATGAATCCGCGATTTGTCTTCGGATCTAACCGCGTCGTACGGATTTATTTTCGTATCTTGGATTTTCACGTAACGTCTGCGTGAACCTCACTTTCAACCGCGTGCACGAGATAAGCACATTGCCGTTCGCGTCACTTAAGAAAATATTATTTGAATTATTTCCAGACAAGATTTCTCTGTAATGAAAAAAAAAAAAAAAAAAAACAGATTCTAAATTTACGAACGAATCTAGACGGAAAACATTTTATATTGTTGATCAGAGGTATTCCTGGAACGCTACGCAGTAATTCGAGAATGTTTATTTTACAAGGTAAAATAAACGTATATATATATATATATATTTTATATATATATATATATATAAAAGCCCATGCTCCAATTCATAAAATCGCTAAATTTTTGCATAAAAAAAGAACGTTATGAACACCTGCGTAAATTATTCGAGTAAAACAAAGGTAAACGTCATGTAAAATTGATACTCCAGTTCGTGAGATATGTCACGAATCGTCGTCGTCGACTTATCTGTGACTTTAAATAACCGGAGATGTGTCAGAATAATATCCGAGTGTTCGATTAATAGTATAGAACTTGTCCGATACATGTATAGCATTAATCTCTATAAATATATCATCTCTATAATTATCTCGTGTTCATCTTGCGTTATCAAAGTCGATATTAACGAGATTGAAGCAGATGAGAAAAAAACGATACTCGAATTAAATTTCGCACGGGATGTCGTAGCTTGTTGCTCGTCTCGGCGAGCGTCTCAAGTGTATCTTTAGCTCTTTATTTACGGACATATTATTGATAACAACACCGTTCTGACGCATATGATGGTTGGACTAGCGGACACATCTTATCAACACGCGCGTTTTCGAAAAGGCAAAGGACCGCATATTATCAGTAAAGTAACGGCGTGGCGTGAGATGTTGTTTGCTTGGGGCGACTTTCGTCAGCGATCGACACATTTGAGAAGCCGGTTGCGTTGCATCGACGTCGATTAACTCTGATCAACTGGTCTTCTTGTTCTACGATATATATACGGGTTGCTCCATAAAATACAGACACGTAGCATTATTCCTTACAAAATTTATACAGCTAGTTCTTTTCTTTCGCAATTGTCGAAAGAAACCGTGTCACATTTAAGTCTCTTGGTCGTAAATTAAAATTCTATTTAATTAAAAAAAGGTTCACTTTACACATGAGTGTGAATTGAGCAATAAATGATAATTTTTCGTGATTCCTTAAGACTTTATTCGAAAACAGTTTTGAGCATGCCGTTCCAAGGTCCTATCTTACATCAATCAACGTCCGAAGAGATTTCGTTTGATAGATGGTATTCAATTTTATTCTCGAAATCAAAACAACGTAGCAAAAACGCGATAAAAAAATTCAAACATTCGTAACGTTAGTAATTTACTATTGCTAAACATTACTCGAGAAGAAAAGGGTCTGAAACATTCCGATAATTGCGCAATCTCAAAAGTGCGACGCGATTCGTTTTAATCGCGAGTCCCAGGTCGGAATGCCAGGAATCGGACAAATCGCACGGTCGATGCAACGCAAAATTTGACGTATCTCTTTGAGTTTCACACAAACTTGCGACAAGAGGCCCCTTCCGTGAGATCCACGAGGGTCACTCGATCCTGGCGTGATGCCCGTTTTATCTATCGTCGAGAAGCTTCGAATGACTTTACTCCATGGGAAAACGGAGCGCGACGCGAGAAGCGAGATGCGAGTTCGCTCTCGAGAGGTCTTTCTCTCACAAGAGAGAGAAACTTTTACTGCGTGTGTTTAGTCGACGACGCGTCGGGGGGCACTGACCATACCGACTGGTCCGCGAGAGTGTCGAATGCACTGACTATGTCAGGGTGAGAGGAAGGGAGGGAAAACATACTCGGTGGAATCTTGGCGACGGAGCCGCATCACGGAATCCGCGTGTGTACACTGTGTGTACGCTCTCGCGCGTGGGCCGCGCTCGCGCCACGCGCGGCGCATACGCGCGCGGAACCGCGCGTGCACGCGGTACGGGTCAGCGCATAATAAAAATCATAATTATTTGATAAGACTACATATAAATATAGTGTAATATTTATGTAATACGAAAAATTTCGATTAACAATTCTCATTTTTCAAAGATCCCAAGTTGGTTTCCAATCTGATTTCCAAAGATCCTGAAATTGCGAAACAGTGTAATAATGTGATGTTTGCAGAAGGAAGGTTTTTGAATATTGCTTGAAAAAATTCTTACGAGCCTGATGATCTCGAAAATATGCATTCGACAGAATGATAAAATTTCGTTAGACACGATCAGTACAGGAGCGACTTATTTATCAATTAATGTCACAGATGAATCTCGATAGTCTTGATACGAAACATTATCGCACGAGACGTTTCTTTTAATATTCTATAGCACGTAGCACTGAGAATGAAAAACAAATTTGATTTAGGCCGATATTCATAGTCCGTTCTTATTCCAAGACTGTCTTAAGTAATGTCTTTTAAGATGCTAATACGGTTTTGTGATTGGTCCATGACATCTTAAGATTGTACTTAAGACGGTCTTAGATACAATAAGAACCGACTATGGATACCGTCTTTAGACTGCGAATGCAGTTCGTATTAT